TCCCAGGCAGTGGGGCTCTGGCTTTGGATTCAGCCCCAGCAAGTCTGTCAGCCCTTGCAGTCCCATTACAATGAAATTGAGACCCACTTTGGGTTCTGAGACATCTGATTAGAATATGATTATGGAGTCATTGCTGCTACCAGTGATATAATTGAAGTGAATCTTTTACAAAGTGTCAAAAAGGGTCAATAGAAAGAGGTAAGTAGCTTGCAGGATAAATGGCCAAGAGGGACATGTTAGAAAAATATGTGAATGGTAATTAGGGCTCTTCTATGCTAGGTAGGCTAGAACAGGGGTGGCCAACCAGTTAAGAGACCAAGAGCCAAAATAGCTGTGAATAGTAGTGCAAAGAGCTATGTATTAGATATTTATTTTATATATCTATAAATCACATATATATTTGTTTATATATCTATCTTTAAGGTACCCCAACCTCCCTGCTCTAATCCAGTGCACCCACCCTTCCCCCAGAACCAGGCACCCCCCCACCCCCGCTCTAACCCAATGCCCTCCCTTCCTCTAGAGCTGGGTAGCCCCAGATTCTTTTAACACCCTGGGTCTCACCCAGGCTCTGGGATGTGCGCGCAGAGCAGCCATGAACTGTCCAGGCACCCGGCTCCAAAAGACAGTCAAATGTTACCTTAAAGGCAGATGCTGTCACCCCCGCCCTAAATCCCAGACATTTTTTTGTATTTTAAAAAAGCTGGATGGATGGTAGTTTCACCCCCAGCCCCTTGCTCTAACCCAGTGCACATACCCCTCCTCCAGAGCCAGGCAGCCCCCCTCCCCCGCTCTAACCCAATGCCCTCCCTTCCTCTAGAGCTGGGTAGCCCCAGATTCTTTTAACACCCTGGGTCTCACCCAGGCTCTGGGATGTGCGCGCAGAGCAGCCATGAACTGTCCAGGCACCCGGCTCCAAAAGACAGTCAAATGTTACCTTAAAGGCAGATGCTGTCACCCCCGCCCTAAATCCCAGACATTTTTTTGTATTTTAAAAAAGCTGGATGGATGGTAGTTTAACATGGGCAAACGATGACATGTCTGGGAAAAACTGGACATATGGTAACCCTAAAGAGCTGCATTTCTGTGAGCAATTTGGCTGCCCTGGGCTAGAACTTTGAAATGCAAGCCTGTATTGCTAGGAAATAAGATGTGATGCTAATTGTCTGTGTTCTTAGATGTTAACCATGTGAACAGACAGTCCCTGTCCATCACTATAGCTATTGATTCAGTAATCAAAAGGAAATATTAATTAGACGACTTTGTGCGTGAAATAATGTCATTGTCTATGCCCCTTTAAAGTTTATTACAAACTGCTTAATGGTTAAATTACCTTATGTTAATCCATGTAGCTAATTATCAGTGATGTAGGAAATAGATCCACTTCAGGGTCTCCATGATTCTATATTGTTGGCCTGAGGACTCCATGCTGACAGAAGGCCTGGAACTGGTAAAGATGTATGGGGTCCTGATTCGTTTATCTCAGTCCTGTTTAATGCTTCATGCGAAGAATGATTAAGTCTTAAGATTGAGCTTTCCAGTTCCATTTGGATCACCCTGAATATGAACATTGGACTGTAACCTATGGACTAATTCTGAAAGAACTGTTTGCAACTACAAATCTCATCATCTCTACTACTGTGAATCTGATCTCAGACCTGTACTCATGTCTGTCTGTATACTGATCTTTTAACCAATACACTCACCCTTTTTTTAATACATTTCAATATTGTTGTTAAGAATTGGCTGTAAACATGTATTTGGGTACGATCTGAAATATTCATTAACTTGGGAGGTAATGTGTCCAGTCCTTTGACAGTGGTAGCAGCCTTCAACTACCTGAAGGGAGGTTCCAAAGAGGATAGAGAGAAGCTGTTCTCAGTAGTGACAGATGGCAGAACAAGGAGCAATGGGCTCAAGTTGCTGTGGAGGAGGTCTAGGTTGGATATTGGAAAAAACTACTGTGTTTTAGCGTATATAACTCACGGGTTATGCAAAGTTTTACAATCCCGCGCTGCCCCCCCCCCTTGCCCCCTCCTTATGGGCTGTACCCGTCCGCGTGTTATACAAGTTTTGGGTTTTTTTTTACTGAAAGTAAAGGAAGATAAGAATGACTCTTACTTGATGAAAGCAGCATATTTTAATTTAATAATAGAGGAAGTGATGTTAAAATACATTAAAAGTTAGAACTTTACTGTGCAACTAGTAAAAGAATAAATATATGGTAAAACAGTTTAAAAAAGCCATCCTCGCATAGTCATAAAATACAGAAGTTCATTCATTCTGATTACTACAATCAGCGCCAGCATCCTCCTCCTCAGCGTCTGAGTTTTCAAAACCGTCAAAACTTTTGTCATAGTCGCTGTCTTGAAAAACATCCATTAAATCTATAACCAAGCCTAGGTGAGCTTCAGTGACCGTCGAGGTCTGTGGTGCCGAATCAGAATCGCTGTCGTAGTCGGATTCGGAGCTAAAAGTCAATGTCAGGAAGAATTTCACATTTATGCAACCCATTGTGAATAGTAGCCAGTTTTATTCTGTCCCAAGCAGCCAAAACCTATTTGCAAAATTCCACGTAAGTTGCACGGCGCTGTCGACTTGCCGGAGTGAATGTGTGCTCCCCATTTGTCATCCAATTGTTCCATTCCGCTCAGGTGAAGTACTTGAATGGGTGGCTGACAGCCACAACAAGTTGTTGCAACTTGCAGGTCAGTCCACCTGGAACTATGGGGCTATGTGCACCCACGGCGTCGATAAGTTTCTGAACTGACGTTTCTTTGTGGGTGGCCAAGGAATCTAAAACCAGCAGAGATTTAGGATTTAAAAAAAAAAAAAAAACCCTTTTCATGCCCGAAAGCAGCTATCTGTCCACGTCATCATAACACCTGTGTTCATTCAGCCCTTTTTGTTACAAACCACACAAACGCCAGCCAGCAGTTTTTCTCTAGGCATTGTTACCCTCTTAAAAAGCATTGTTACCCTCTTAAAAAATGGTGGTTTTAATTTATCACCATTTGCTGTGCATGCCAACACTACAGTAAAACAGGTGCGACCATGACCGGTGGTTGCTACACAGACTGTTTTTGATCTAGTTTCCACAACAGACTGAGTAGCGGGTATCTCAAATGACATGGGAACCTCATCCATGTTAATAATGTTGCTTGGTTTCAAGCCCAGCTGGTGAATTCTCTATGTACAAAAGTTTTAAAATCATCCATTTTTTGTTCCCATTTGTCAGGAAGCCGTTGGCCAGCAGATGTCCATGCACGAACTGACAGATTGTTTCTCTGCATTAATTTGTACACCCAATTTCTGTTCCACAGCCATAAGTCGAGCCTTGAGCTGTATGGCTACCGTTGACACTGCCCGTTTGTCCTCTCTCTGTGCACGAACCCACTTCAACAGGTTTTCTTCCAGATTTGGCCACTTGGCTTTCTTTCTGCGGCACACTCTTTTCCTAGGGTGTAATTTCTCAAGCTCTGCTTCTTCTTTTCTCCACTCCCGAACAGACTTTTCGTTGACAGAGTATTTTCTCCCTGCCGCTTTGTTTCCATTGTCCTTTGCATATGTCACAACACACAATTTAAAATCGGCTGTGTAGGATTTGCGCTTAGGCATATTTAAAAAGTTTTAAATTGTAAATACTTTTTTAAAATTCAGTACAAGGTTATAGCATACTTACTGCTCAGTATCATCAGCTGTGGTACATTAACATTTCATTACAGGTGCTGTTCATTAATAGAACCTGTGGTTCATCTCCTACGGGCTATACAGGTGCGCTGGTTATCTAAGACTTTTTTTTACACAATCAAGAAAAACTGCAGGTTATGCACGGGTGCAGGCAATACACTTGCACGGATTATCTACGCTAATTTATGGTGTTTCCCTAGGAAGGTGGTGAAGTACTGGAATGGGTTACCTAGAGAGGTGGTGGAATCCATCTTTAGAGGTTTTTGAGGCCTGGCTTGACAAAGTCCTGGCTCGGATTATTTAGTTGGGGTTGGTCCTGCTTGGGCGGTGGCGGGGGTTGGACTCGATGACTCCTGAAGTCTCTTTCCCCTATGATTCTAAGGCCATCATTTATTTGTACGCTAGTGTCCTAGAAGTGGATCTCTTGTGTGGATTGGTCCAGGTTAAGATTAACGGTGGGGTGGAAATTGTTGACATCCCTGTGGAATTCTTCAAGGGTCTCCTTCCTGTGGGTCCATATAATGAAAATGTCATCAGTATAGTGTAAGTTGAGGAGAGGTTCTAGGGGACAGGAGCTGAGGAAACGTTCTAAGCTACTACAAGGCTAATTATATTAGCTAGCAGCGGCAATTAGCCCCCCCGTGCTGCTATATCTAAGAGCATCATCTCCCGCCTGCTCCCTCCTCCTGCTTGTAAACATGTCACAGTGGAACTTTCAGTGGTTATACGTTTGCAAAAATAAAGACATTTTAATATCACTAATATTAACTTGTTATCTATGTGGTGTTTCTACGGGTACATCTACACTAGCCCCCTAGTTCGAACTAGGGAGGCTAATGAGAGCGACCGAAATTGCTAATGAAGCACGGGATATAAATATAAATATCCCGTGCTTGATTAGCATATTCCTGGCCGGTCGCCATTTTGGAAACTGACTAGCCTGAAGTAACTGCCCGCGTTTACACGCGGCAGAGAAGTGGGATTCTGAGATAAACCCCTTAGTTCGAATTAACTGTTAAACCCCATTCTATGAGGAGTAACAGTTAATTTGAACTAAGGGGTTTATCTCGGAACCCCGCTTGTCTGCCGCATGTAGACGTGGGCAGTTACTTTGGGCTAGTCAGTTTCCAAAATGGCGACCGGCTGGGAATATGCTAATCAAACATGGGATATTTAAATCCCGCGCTTCATTAGCAATTTTGGTTGCCCTCATTAGCCTCCCTAGTTCAAACTAGGGAGCTAGTGTAGACGTATCCTAAGAGTAAATCTGGACATTATATAAATAAGTTAATTTCTCTCTTTACTTTTAGTTCATCTTGTTGATATCTGGAATATGATTGAAGCTTTCCGAGACAATGGCCTTAATACATTGGATCACAACACAGAGATCAATGTTTCTCGACTAGAAACAATAATTTCATCCATCTACTACCAGCTAAATAAACGCCTTCCTTCTACTCACCAGATCAGTGTGGAGCAATCCATTAGCCTTCTCCTCAACTTTATGATAGCAGCATATGACAGGTTAGTACATATGTAAATGATTCCAGTTACATTTGTAAATGATTTCATTTATTTGGGTATACCCTGCTAAAGGCTGAAGCTAAATTTCATAAAGTGGAGCAGATTGCACTTCTTTAATATAGTGCTGTCATGTTCAGAGATTTACATATCACAGCAAGCGATACACCTTTAAAATCTTATTCTAGAGGAAGATGCATGGCTGCCTGCTGGGGCTTGTATGCCTCTGCAGGCCATATGTTGGGATTCAAGATAAAGGGCAACGATGCTGTGCTTTTAAGTTATAAGAGGAAGCTGTATATCAAATTTGGTGGCCTTAGCTTTTACCGTTTAGGAGTTCTTGAATAGACACACAGATGGACAGACAAACTGTCTCAATTATATACAGGCAGTCCCCGGGTTACATGGATCCGACTTACATTGGATCCCTACTTACAAACGGGGTGAGGCAACCCCGCACTAGCTGCTTCCCCCCAGCAGACCCCTCCCAGCAGACCAGGGAGACGTGGAGCGGCTTTTCTCAGCAGACACCTCAGTTTGAGATTAAAGGACTGAGGGAAGTGAGGTGTGGGAGAATAAAACTGAGCTCTGGAGAAATGTTTGGCTAGAGTTTCCCCTACAATATGTACCAGTTCCGACTTACATACAAATTCAACTTAAGAACAAACCTACAGTGCCTATCTTGTACGTAACCCGGGGACTGCCTGTAGTAGATCAAATAATGGCCGAGTTGTTAGTGTTTGAATTCTATCTTAGTGGATGAGAAAAAGTCTGAGCCATAGCTGTGTTAGTCTGTAACTTTAAAAACAGTGAGCCAGTCCTGTGATACCTTAAAAGAGACTAACAAATGTATTACATCATGAGCTTTTCTGGGTAGAACCCACTTCATCGGATGAGTTGGAGTGGAAATGACAGAATCCAGAGTATATACAGCAGCAAAAGAAGTTACCTATCAGTTGTAGAACCAGTGTTAAGGAAGTTAATTAAGGTGGGTGTATCTCAATCATATAGCATTTGATGTGGAGATGCGAATATCATAGGCAGGGAAGATGCCTTGGTACTGCATTAACCAGTTTAAGATCTTTATTCAAGGCTAAGTTGATAGCATTTAACTTGTAAATGAATTCCAGTTCAGCTGTCTCCCTCTGTAATCAGGTGATAATTTTTTTTGTAGAACAATAGCTACTTTTAAATCACATTATTAAATGTCCAGGAAGGTTAAACTGTTCTCTTACAGGTTCACATGTGTTACCATTCTTGATGTCTTATTTGTGTCCATTTATCCTTTGGTGCAGAGACTGTCCAGTCTGGCCAATATCCATGACGGAGGGGCATTGCTGGCACTTTAGTGGATGTGGAGATGCATGAGCCCCTGATGTTGTGGCTTATGTGGTTAGTTCCTGTGATGGTGTCGCTTGCATAGATATGTGGACAGAGTTGGCAATGGGGTTTGTTGGAGAGAGAGGCTCCTGGGGAAGTGTGTATGTGGTGTGGTGTGTGGCTGCTGGTAAGTATATGCTTTAGGTCTGTAGGCGAGGACTGGCCTGTCTCCCAAGGTCTGTGAGAATGAGGGAATCATTTTCCAGGATAGGTTGTAGATTGTCAGTGATGCGCTGGAGGGGTTTAAGCTGGGGCCTGTACGTGATGACCAGTTGTCTTGTGTTTTCCTTGTTGGGTCTGTCCTGAAGTAAGTGACTTCTAGGTACTCATCTGGCTCTGTCAGTCTGTTTCCTTTCTTCCCCAGGTGGGTATTTCAGTTTTAAGAATGCTTGATAAAGATCTTGTAAGGGTTTGTCTCTGCAGGATTGGAGATCTGGTTGTTTCTTAGCACTTGGCTCCAACTCATCTGATGAAGTGCATTTTACCCACGAAAGCTCGTGGCCCAATACATTTGTTAGTCTCTAAGGTGCCACAGGACTGCTCGTTGTTTTCAATGGATGAGACTGTGTATTAGAGAAGCACATAAACTTGTGGGTATTCCACTTCGTAAAGGGGTTAGATCCCATTCTGTCCGTGCAAAGGCACCCACTATCGGTTTATTAAACGTTCTTCTTGAAGAGATTTATAGAACAGCTACATGGAATTCAGTTCACTCTTTTACTAAGCACTGCTCATTAGCCCTAGAGACTAGGTTGGATGCTAAGTTTGATAAGGCTATAATCATTGTTGAGTTAAGACTGTGTATCTCACCATTCTGGGATTGGTGGGCTGCTTATTAGCCTATCCAATGAATGGCAACGTTTAACTGGTTAACTAATTAAGTCAGACTTTATGTCCCTAGTTGGGACAGTCATTATTAGTTCTACCCGAGTTGTGTTTTGAGGCCTCTCTTGATGATTCCTGCAACGGAGGACTCGAAACTAAGACGGACCTTTCGCCTAGTGCCCATAAAACCTGCTTGTAAAGGACCTGTAGTCCTTGTTGAGGAGAAGTCCCTTTGGATCTGATGTGTACTTTTTGGTGGAGAACCTTTTCATAGGTAAAGACGAAGATCATCTCTCTTTATAGTTATCCATCTTCTTCCAACTGTTCAAGGGGTACGATCCCTACAGTAATGCCATTAACTCTGGTTAGAAGCTCTGCTACCATCATCATCTCTGGCCAACACCTCTGATCTGCACTCTGAGCACAGGGATTAGGTCACATCTCTACAGGATGATTCTGGGACACAGACATGATGTCCCCAGATAACATGGGTTATTGATCTCTTGCCAGAGTTGTCTTCAAAAGAGTTCCACAGTGTAGTGGCTAGGGCCCTATTGCTGCAGCCGCATGTGTCCCAGTAGTAATGTGAAGGCATCTACAGTCCAGAGAAAAAAGGAAGATAATGCTCTCTGTCCAGAAGGGGACAGCTAGCATCCCTTTTCACCATGCTTAAACGGGCAAAAGATGGTTTTAAACCAGGTGTCCCAGTTTCGTTTCTGTTGCTAACTCTCCTGCAAATGCATTGGTTATCATAGCAATGTCTCTGAGAACTTCATTCTCTGCCCCTCCCGTTAGGAAACCCAAAAGCTTGGTTGCCATTTGCAGAAAGTCACCTCTGCATATTGAGTTAGCAAGCTATGTAGCTTCTTCCTTTTCTTGACCAATTGCCATATATTCAACAGAAGTAGGCTAAGGAGGGTGCCCAAAGGGGTAAAAATCCCCCAAAACTTGTGTTCAGCCCCTGAGGGTAGCATATAGCATTTTTGATGCAGTGGCAAGATTTATAGCCTCTTCTCAGACATTTATGGTTAAACTTTTTGTAGTGTTTCTGTGGATGTCCAGTTCAAAATCTGTGATCTTTATTTCGAGGAAGAATGTTCAGCAATAAAATGGATAAAACCTTACAGCACACTAAAGAGGCGAGGTCAGCCATGGGACCTGTATGGCTGACTCAACCTTCCCGTCAAAAAGGAGGTTTTCTCTTTGAAGTGTTGAGTACCAAGAAATGTCTGCTATCTTCCTTTGCACAGGTGAAATGCCAGCCTCGGAGGCAGCCTCTTCAACAATCTGCTAAGAGACAATACAGAAATAAAACAAGATGACTAAAATGTTTTTCTGGAAGCAGCTGCTCTCTTCAGCCTTCCCAGCCTCTGTTTTGGTGGGTTGGCTGGGAATACAGAATCACATCTATTTAATTTTCTTCCTTTAGAAATCACTTGGTCCATTTCCTACCATTTTGGGGACAGAGCATCTGATAATGGGATCCTGCATATCATCCAGAATTACTGTCCTCAATCCCCCTTTCCTCTTCTGCAGTCCATCTAGAATCTTATTTCCAGAACAGATGAGGTCTCCTCTCTAGAAGGAAATAATTGAAGGGGACTCACGTTTCCTCTTCCCCTTGTTATACTGTCTTACATTTTCTGAGTTTCTGTAAGAAACCTGTAAAGTATTATCCATAGCACACATTGTGGCATAGATAATTCAGTCAATCTTTTTATTTTGGAGTAAAGTGCTCAGAATTTATGTATTGCTTATCCATACTTCTATACATGCTCTTGTTACTCCTTATTTTTGTTCAACTACTAGTAAATTAAGTATATACTAAACTGCACCCTAACAATGGCTTTATCCAGAGATCACTGTTCTATAGCCTGTGCAATCATCTGTTACTGTATGTTGTTTGTGTTTCATCTTTTTGTAGAGCATTTTGTTTTTATAAGAGTTATTTTTGCATAGCACATTGTGCTGAATAAAATCTTTCTGTTGTTTTTATAAAGAATTAGTATAATTTTTTCTCATGCTGACATTAGGAAATGGTTGCCTGATTGTCCCATCTGTTCCTGAAAGTACAGCAGCCTAGGTGGCCTTAATTAGAAAAACAACTATCTATGTTTGTTCCTATTCTGTGCAGAATATTCAGAATATCTTGTTACCTAACTTAAAAACCAACGAAAAGTCTGTTAGGACTTTAAAGACTGACAAAACATGTAGATGGTGATATGAGCTTTCATGGGCACAGCCCACTCCTTCAGATGACCATAGTGTTGGATGTGCAGAACCAAAAATAAATAGGGAAGGGTTGGGGGAGGAGGCAGTGGGAATATAAATATGAAAGTGAAAGCTGAGCAGTATGTAGCAGGCAAAACTGATCTAAAGACTAGATAGTTAAAAGAAGCAGACAAGAACCATTAGTTAGCACTCTTCCTCTCTAATTGCTAACACCTGATTCTACACAGATCAAGAACCATTGGCATTTTCATTGGTTGTTTGCATGGCAGGGTGTTGCCCTGTACTTGCCCTTTAAAGGGCTGAGACCTGGAGTCAGGAGGAAGCCCAGCTGAGGAGGGCCCAGCTGGAGGCCATATAGAGCAGCTCCTGGGAGGAGGAGAGGGACCTGCCTGCCTGCAGTGAGGGAGGCTTCGGCCTAGCAAACCCAGGCTACCTGGCCTGAGGCCCTAGGAGCTGCAAGGAGGCAGTCATGGAGGGTGGGGCTCCCATGGAGGCAGCCCTAAAAGGCTGGGCTGCAAGGAGGCAGCTGCAGTAGGCTGGGGGAGTTTGAGCCAGGGAAGCCCCAGGCCATAAGTCCACAAGGCAGGGTTGCAGGAAGCAACTGGGCAGGCAGAGTGGGAGAAGAACTGGGGGCCCTAGGGAGTAGGGAGGACCTTGGAGGAGGAGCGGAGGAGGAACCCCTGGAAGGGGGTGCAGATCAAGACCGGAGTGTCACTGCTGGAGGGCAGTGCCTTGAAGAGAATACCTCACCCAAAGGGGGTGCGTCGGCGTTGGAGCAGCCGGTTACTTCCCCACAAGCCACCCCGAGGGAAGAAGCCATGCTGTGAGTCAACCCGCTACAGTTGGTTGATAATGTCCCAGCCATCCAGTATCTCGATTCAGACCATTGGCATGAGAATTAAATTTGTGAATGAATTGTAGTTCCAACCCTTCCCTGTGTATTTGGCTTTTGGAATTGGTCTGTAACAAAACAGCAACTTGAATATCTCTTAATGAATGACCTGGCAGATTAAATTGTTCACCAACAGGTTTCTGTATGTCCTCTTTACGGATATCTGATTTGTGTCCATTGATTCTTTCCCATAGGGACTATTCAGTTTGTCCAATATATTTTGCAGTGAGGCATTGCTGGCATTTGATGGCATAGATCACGTTACTGGATGTGCGTAGCACAAATTACGTATCTTATTTTTAATCTATTTCGAAATGGCTTATTTTGAAATTTGGCACATCTACACAGCTATTTCAAGCCATCCTTTAACCCTCATGCAATGAGGATTACCAGGATGGCAAAATAGTGCACCAGTTATTTTGAAAAATATTTTGAAATAACGGGCGGCTTGTGTAGATGCGGGGTAGCTATTTCAGGATACTTCTGGTATCCCTGTTAAATAGTTTTTATAAAGCATAGCCCTTACAGGAAGGCATAAAGGCACATTTCTTCTGACCCTTACATATTTTTGTTCTTATTCCATATAGTAATTATTTGTCATGTATTTTATTTTGCAGTGAGGGCCATGGGAAGTTGACAGTATTTTCCGTTAAAGCTATGTTAGCAACCATGTGTGGTGGGAAAATACAAGACAAACTAAGATGTAAGTACAGTCAAATAAATGTATCCATTCCTTGAAATTTTCTATTTCCACCATTAGTCACACGCACTTTATATTTAATAGTTAAATTTTGGAAAATTAGCTGCATTTTTCTTGCTCATCCAGCAATTGAATTATTGGAATGAATCTTTTTATGTCAGTTTAGTTTTTCTGCTAATGCATCCCATCCAACAAACTAAGATGTAAGTACAGTCAAATAAATGTATCCATTCCTTGAAATTTTCTATTTCCACCATTAGTCACACGCACTTTATATTTAATAGTTAAATTTTGGAAAATTAGCTGCATTTTTCTTGCTCATCCAGCAATTGAATTATTGGAATGAATCTTTTTATGTCAGTTTAGTTTTTCTGCTAATGCATCCCATCCA